ATCTTTATTGTTTCTTTAAATTTCTAATTTTCTTTTAGACATTTTCATTTTGAAATCTCGATAAATGCTTAAATGCCATATGATTAAATGAAATGTTCTATAACTGATTAAAAAAAGAAGAGCAACAGAATACAATGAAATTTCACATGTAGCTCACTGTTGAGTTGTTCTATTTTAAAAAGACTCTAAGGGCACCCCTTGTGGTCTTTGAGGGCCCCTTGGTGCCCGCTGGCACCATGTTGGTGACCCCTGCTCTAGACAGTGAGACTGGAATAGGTCCCCTTTGTTCTTTGGCACCTGTGATGGCCTGGCGACCTGTCCAGGGTGTGCGACCCCTCTCCGGTCAAGTGCGTCAGATGATGGATGGATGTTATTTGGCACATTTCTTAAGTTGATTCATGTTAGAGTAGCTAGCGGCTATGCATTGGACTTTAGCCTGATCTTTGATTGGACCGTTCTACATGTGTATACATCCACTGTAGCTCTGCAGGCTGGAAGGGGAACTAGTTTTGCTGGTTTTATTTTGAAAAAGTCCTGATTCAATGGCTGCTTAAGAAAAACATCCCCACCGTGTTTATGTGCATATTGTGGATACACTATGCACATAAACACGGTGGTGGCAGGACTATGGTAGGTACTAAGGATTTAAAATTGATTACCTTTTAGAGAAACCTGGTCTCATAAGATCAAACAGTAAACAAACTGTTCTCCCATACGCCTCAGTTATACAATATAAATCCAGCTAAAATAATCACATTGGTGTCTAATTCTTATTTCCTTTTTCAGATCAAACCAACCCCTGAAGGATCGAAGGAGTACTTCGAGAAGGTCAACTGAGTTCACAACAGCCTGAAAGTAGAGACGATTAAAGCCTCTGATCTTAGTTTGCAGTTCACTAATAAATCCTTTGGACCAGTTTGTGCCGTTTTCTACCTCTTTGATTTTAATTTTAAGTCACACTATGATGCACCGTCTACAGATAATAAACACACTGAATGACCCCTGTACATAAACATGTTTATTTTCTTTTTACAGCGAGTTAATATGCAGGTTCAAAATGTCTGACATTGGTACACAACATGAAGTGCCAAAATCAACCAGAGTGGGAGAGAACTGGAAATTAGAAAAAAAAAAAAAAAGGCGTTTGCCACTTCTCATACAAGTAGGGTACATACTGTATTTACAGAAAAATGATGGTGGGGGGGCATCAGAAACACTCTGCAGCACAGTGTGGTGATGAAAACATCTAGTTTTAGGTGTACATAAACTTTACTTTATACAGTATGTTTGCAAAAAAACGACGCATCGCCTTGTTCCTTCAGATAAAATGAACGCCAGCTTTACTCCAAAGATGTGGAGCCTGTTTAAAGCTTAAAAAACAAAACAAAAAACCTCAAAAAGCCCTAAAAACAAAAGTGGAAAAAAATTGTGGTTTTGTTTTAAAAACGGAAGAATGGAGGCAGATGAGATGGTTTTAACGTGAAAACTTCATGCAGTTTCGGGCGAGCCGTTGCAGCGCCCACCGGCCCCCACCCCAAGCACCGAACTAAAAAAAAAAAAACTAAAGGATTCATTTAAAAAGAAAAAAACACACCCTGTAGTAAAACTGTACAACGAAAATACATCTGGGTCCTACGTCTAAAGGTACATTATCAAGGTTATATACACGCCACCCCATCCATATATTATCTTTACATGTAGACTTCATTCAACCCAAACATTTAGAAAACAAGACTAAACCTGGAAATGGGATCACATCAAACAGCCATTTTAAAAAAAAGAAATCAGTTCTTGCTGCACCTCGGCTGCTGATCAGTACGGAAACCCGACAGCGGGACTAAAATCTCAGCGACTGGATGGACCGCTTCCGGAGCAGGAGTTAGACCATCGAAATGAGCCGAGGGGAGGGGGGGGGGGGGGTCAGTGAAAGTAAAAGAAACTACGGTGGAGCAACAACATTTTGGAGCGACTTCCAAGAAAACAGAAATAAGTCGAACCCGGCTCCTGAAAATTCTGACGCAACAGAACCACGGCTTTCTGAACGCTCCGGCCTCTTCACTGAAGAGAGCTATGCTACTCCGTCAATGTACATCGTGTAGTCTCAGCTGGGACTGGGTCGGGAAGGAGGAGTCTGCTTTAAACATTCACCCCAACCTCAATAAAGCAACTGATTTAAAATGAAACCTTGGGTTTAACATCTCCTCAGATTTCCTCTTAAAGTCACGGTGTCGTAATTCATTCAGAAAAATGGAGAGAGAAAAAAAGAAGTTTTGTACAAAGAAGTGAGATTCCCACAATCTCTCTGCAAGAAGGAAAAGAAAGGATGACTTGTGCCTGCCGTCTTTCAGAACACGTAGGTGAATCCATTAACTCCCCGTGTAGCCGCTCTGCTTCTTAGTCGATTTTCACATTTGTGTAGATCTTCCTCACGAAGGCACTTGTTCCCATGTAGCCAACAGCACCTGCGAAGGGATTAAATCATATCAGTTCTTCACTACGCACCGCAGGGTTGTTTCCTGCCAAGGAGACGTAATAAAAGTCTGAGCAGGAGAAAAAGAAAACATGAGCTGAACACGGTGAGCCCAGAAGGCAGCAAACAGGTCCATAAGTCTGCTGAGGCTCATTAGCTCTGCTGCTGCAACAACAGGTCCACCCAGCAGCAGAAACAAACTACTTTAGAGCACAAAGAGGCTCAAAACCAACAGTACACCTCATTCAACATGAGCCGGAAGAACAGGAGATGCCACGCTGAGAGACAAACGTTTTAATAGCTTTTAGATCTCTACGTAAAGCTATTTTAAATGGGGTTAGGAGGAGTATACCTGAGTAGGCAACGCTCAGTTACCAGCAACATTTCAACCCTTTCATAACAGATTGATTGCTTAGGATTTAAAGCAGCAATGTTGACTTTATTTTGGAGGAAAATAATCTGTCGATTATTTTTTTGCTTGATTAATAATCGGATAGCCTTAAAGAAGATTTTTAAATAAAATTAAAAGAGGTGAAACTTAAACTTTTCCACTTGAGTTCTGGATAGAGCATATTGATGGATGAAAACTTTTTTTTTTTTTAAATCTTAAATGCAAACTGTTAATATATACATTTTTTTTTTTACAATTTTGATATCACTGCTCTAAGTGGGTCGCTCCGTCAGCTGTGGGGATATTTTAAGTCTATAATCCAAACAACGACTATTTCAATAATCATTTAATCACAATTAATAATTTGGCTCTAGTGGAAAGTCTCCTTGTCAAAACAATATTTCTGTCGTCTTAAAGGTAGAAGAGTAATGCACTAATTAGTACGGAAGAGGATTAGGCCCACTGAAAAAAAAAAGTTAACTGATTTTTAAGTTTTATTTGAGTTTAGTATGGAAAAAAGGCAGAATTCTGACTTTT